GGAGAGGACTTTGAATGCAGAAATAACTTGAAAACATTAAGGAAGATCAGAAAATATGCCATTTCTAAAGACGGTGTGGGTTGACATGAGAAGCACAGAGCAACTGGAACCACATTCGTGGACCTAGACCTCCGTTTCCCATCTGCTGGGAAGAACAGTGGTTTGAAGGATGACAGGTACCAGCTCTCAGACCTATCCAGGAACCAGCCAGGAAATCAAGCCAAGTAACACACAAAAACACACGGGGGAAACGCCAGTATCCGGATTTACCCTTGTCCCTGAAAGCGCTCCATCCAGGTTAAGCACATGTGCGTGTTAAACTACAGCAGCAGAGGTGGGAACACAACGACGTTTTATTGTCCTTGCTTTGGGTGTAGGTATTTTAACTTACAGATTGAGTTACAGACCCCAGTTGGTTTCTCTCTCTCGGAGCATGTGGATGTGTCTGATGACCACACCATCTTCCATGATGTGCACCTGCATCTCACCTGTCCGTGCCCCTGTCAGGGACACCCAGGTGGCAGCCTACTCCCCACCACCACAGACAGTGCTGACAGTGTCTTCTGATCTCCTCTATTTGTCTGTGGGTTATCTGTCTGGGGTTGGACTTGGGGGGCAGTTGGTTGCACGCTCCCTTCCTTTGGACCAAGTCCCACCATGCTGCTCTTCACAAGGGCTGTACCAGCCCACACTCCCCCAGCAGTGCCGGAGGCAGAGCACATTTTACCCACGTGCAGTTGTTCCTTGCTGGCTCAAGTATTATCCAAATATTCAGCCCTCAGTGGGGATATACATTTACAGTGAGCATCATACAGTGTAAGTAAAAAGATGAAAACTAAAACTTAAAATAGAGTTACCATCTGATCCAGTGATCCCACTCCTGGGCATATATCCAGAAAAGACAAAAACCCTAATTTGAAAAGATTCATGCACCCCAATGTTCAGAGCAGCACTTCCTACAGTAGCCAAGACATGGAAGCAACCTAGGTGCCCATCAACAGATGACTAGATAAAGAAGTTGTAGTATATGTTTACAATGGAATATTACTCAGCCATAAAAAAGAATGAAATAATGCAATTTGCTGTAACATGCATTGACCTAAAAGATGATCATACTAGGTGGAGTAAGTCAGACAGAGAAAGACAAATATTATATGATACCGTTTATATGTGGAATCTAAAAAAATGATACAGTTGAACTTGTTTACAAAACAGAAACAGACTCACAGACATAGAGAACAAACTTACGGTTACTAAAGGGGAAAGCAGGGGGAGGAGTAAATTAGTTTGGGATTAACCAAAAAAGAAAAGATGGGTTTGCAGAAAAAGAGAGCTGAGAGAGTGCGTGTTTAGGCAGGAAGATAAGATACACCAGAGGCTCAGGAATGTAATCATAAGAAATGACTTGAGCAAAGGGAAACAATGCTTGGTAAAGTGCGGATCCAAAGCATCTTCTGCAGCCCAGCGCCATCTAGCAGCTTGACTAGGACGCCTTCCCAGACAATCCTGGGCACGTCTGCCAGCTGCTCTCTTGAACTTGCACCCATTAGTTACGTGTTAGTCCCTCACCTCCTTGCAGCAGGACCTCCTTAATGGAAAACAGAGCCTCCTCTATCATAGCTTGTGTGCTGTGGTTCCCAAACCTTCGTGGCTCCAGAGTCACCCAGAAAGCTTATAAAACGCAGGCTTTGAGGCCTCAACAGGCCTCCCAGGTTGGGAGAGGTCTTCATGGAAGAGACCTGGGAAATCTGCCTTTTTAATATGATTCTGATGTTAACTAAATTTTGAGAAATATCACTTCACTGGTTCTTACCACTGTCGGAAGCAGAAAGGATATTGGACGTTTTGAAGAGCAGATGCATTCGGGCCCTAACCAATCAGAAGGGCTGCCAGCCACCAGCCAGCAGTAGGGCATGTCCTGACTGGGTGTGCGCTGCCCAGGCCAGGTAAGACATACTGGACATGCTCACCTCCACCCGCACTGATGTTTTGGGAAGGCCAAGCCAGCCCTTAGAACGATCAGGGCACCTAGTCTCACCGAGCAGGCCCTTTTCCCGAGATGTCCCCGCAGGACCACTAACACATGTGGCCAGCAGGTCTCCTGTCCTTTCCCATCGTCCAGCGTGATGCTCATTCGCCACCTCAAACTTTCCAGCTCACTCCAGATTTGCTGTATGTTCTTGGTCTCCCCCTCTCCCCCTCTCCCCCTGCCTCCTTCCTGGCCGTTTGTCCTTCCCTGACCTGCAGGACAGAGGATGGCTTGGTGCAGCCCACCCTGAACTTCTACAAGGACCACATTTAGCGTCTAGACACCCAAGAAGAACTGCCTCAGGGAACGAGGTGGTGGCCAGCCCCCCTGAGAGCTTAGATGGGTATTTTTCATCTTACAATTTAAGTATAAACCGGGCGTGGGGTTCACCCTTTGGTGGTGATAGAATCAACCTGCGTCACGACCAAGATGCCCAGCCAGCCGCTGGACATGACCTCCCCCCAGGTGAGTGGGCGGTGCCCGCGCTGACATTTCTGTTCTCAGCAGGAATTTACTTGATTAATGCACGCTGTCTCCAGCAAGAGCCTCCAAGGGGTACCACCCAAGCCTGTCAAGAGGGGGAAGTAGGGACCATTGGGACTACGTTCTGCTGCGTGTCCACTTCATTGCCTTATCAGCAGTCTGGTCACTGCGTATGTGACCACAGGGGGAACATCATCTTCTTACTTACAGGGAATTTATTTCAAGACCCAGACTGCGTCAGTGAACAATTCAGCAGGGCTTTAATAACTGCCTCTCCTCCCACATCCAGTCAACTGCTTAGAAAGAAGGTGATGAACCCAACTTGGCCTGAAAGGAAATGACACATCATCACACCATTAAAAACGCGGTGGGCAGATGTGGGCTCCGGAACTCTGCAATGGAAAGCGGCCATTTGGGTTCCTGGATGAGTTCCCTTTTCTCTTCTTACCCAGAAGGGCATGTTTTTAAGATCTGAAGCTTCCAGAAATGGGGGAACCACAGCCACAGGCCTTGACCCTTTGACAACATGGGTAACCAAAAAACAACGTGAGAGAAATAAATCCCCTGGTCCCTTACTGCCATGCTGGGGAAAAAGAATCGTTTTTGCCAGTCTTCCCCACCCTCCCCTTTTTAAAAAAACCTTCATTCATTCATTCATTCAACTAATTTTCACTGGGCACCAGCAATGCACAAAGCATTGTGTTAGGGATTCGATTCCGAATCCAACAGACACTGCCTGACCTTGCCGGGCTCACCCTCCAAGGTGGAGGCAAGACAAGTCACCGGATACAAAGGTAAACAAATCAACACTTGTGGTCGGTGCCTTGATGGGCTCTAACAAGGGCTGGGAATGAATACCATGGGGTGATGGGGCAGCTAAGGGCCTCTCAGAGGCAGAGACGGAAGGGTTGAACAGGATCCAGCCACATGACAATAATGACTAGTGGGCAGCTTAGGGAGGATGCCATTCCGGGAAGCGGGAGTAACATGTGCAAAGGCCCTGAGGTAGGGAAAGCATGTTTGAGGAAATGAAAACAAAATATAGAACCTTGTTGCTGGAACAGCGTGTGAGCTGAGAGTGAGTGAGGCCAGGGGGAGAGAGAGACACAGGGGCCAGCTCTTGTAGCCCTGAGGCCGTGCAGGCGGCGGGGTTTGTGTTCCAAGCACAATAAACAGGTTTAAGAAGAGGGATGTGGTGGCTGGATGTGCGTGTTGTGCTGGGTAGAGATGCATCTAAGGCGACTAGAACAGAAGCCAGGAAACTGCTAAGGTAGCCATTGGCAGGTCCAGGCGAGAGAAGCGGCAGGGGAGGTTGAAAGTAAACTTAGAGAATGAGCTGATGGAACTCATCCCACACAGGACGTGAGTGGGAAGACAAGTCAGGGCTCCCAGACTCTGGCTTGGGTGACGGGGTGCTTGGAGTCCTGTACAGAGACAGTGAAGACACAGCAACAGATGTGGGTTTGTTTTTGGTTATTGTTGTTGTTTCTATTTAACTTTAGTTGACTTACAATAGTGTGTTAGTTTCAAGTGAAACATGACAAAGTGCTTCAGCTATACATATGTATTCTTTTTTTATCTTTTATCTATGATTTTTAAAAATTCTTTTATATATATTCGTTTTCAGATTCTTTTCCATTATAGGTTATTATAAGATATTGAATATAGTTCCCTGTGCTGTACAGTAGGACCTTATTGTTTATCTACTTTATATATAATAGTGTGTATCTGTTAATCCCATACTCCTCATTTATTCCTCCCCTGCCCCTTCCCCTTTGGTAACTATAATTTTGTTTTCTATGTCTGTGAGTCTATTTCTGGTTTGTAAATAAGTTCATTTGTATTTTTTTTTAGAAAATTAACTCTTCCAAATTTCCACCCAGAAGCCCTCCTGTGCTCATTCTTTTCTGTACAACCAGAGAGGAGTCCATCCTGACCCTTGGCGTTTCCTTCATGTTGGAAAAGAGAAATGTTCCTTGCTTATATGCAGAACAGTCCTATGGAAAATCTATCTGGAGAGAGATATATTAAACATATTTAAAAATATAGTAAGTTTTTCTCTGTGTGGTAGCTTACAGATAATATTTCTTTGTTTATTGACACTTTTTTTGTACTCTTCCGTTTTCCCACAATGAACATTTATACATTTTCTAATTGGAAAAAAAATAATTTTTTAAAACCCTCCAGCCACATCCGCTCGTTAGGAATTCCTCGCGTAGTTTTAATGCACAGAACACAGGCTGTTTCCACCAAAGAAGAAAAGGTTTGTCAGTTCACTGACTTGACCATAGTGTCTTGGGGAAGAAAACTGGAAGCACGACCTTGTTGGCATAAAAGCATCCTTTTCTGCTGTGTCTATCAAGAGGGAGAAAAAGGTGCTTTGCTCCTGATGAGAACAACAGTCTTCCCGTGGGTGGGTTGGCAGGGACTTCGGCTTCCCTTCGGCCTCCTTGTAATTGGGATGTTACGTAGACCAGTACATGAACTTGATTCATCGCGAAAGGACCCAGACCATCTAAATGCCGCTTATCCCTGGGGAAGGAGCCATTTCAGTTTCTCAGTAATCTCAGCCTGGTGTTGTTTCCCTCCCTCCCCATATGTTCTGTTTTCAGACGACCGGTTTCTAGGAATGTGTCTGGAACAACACTACACAAATGCCCCAGGGCATAGCATTCCTCCTTCTAGCCGTCATCCAGCGCCATCGTTGCTCACCAGTGTGGTCTGAAAGTGGGCCGACCACTAGGCGGTGAAGTGATGGGCAGAGAGCGAAAGAGCGTGACCTGTGGTACCAGCGCCTGGTCTCTCCCCTGCTTGGCCTCCAGGGGAAGGCGCTGAGCCTGGCCACACCTGGCCTCACCTGGCCTGTGTGGGTGGGGTCAGGGAGATCACTGGCTTATTCAATGTATCTCTCTCCAGATAGATTTTCCACAGGACTGTTCTGTATATAAACAAGGAATGTTCCTCTTTTTCAACATGAGGGAAATGCCAAGGGTCAGGATGGACTCCTCTCTGGTTGCACAGAAAATAACGAACACAGGAGGGCTTCTGGGTGGCAATATGGAAAGAGTTAATTTTCCCCATTTCTGGACATTCTGATGGGCCACCCTCCCTCTTCCAACAACCCTGAATTGAGTTCCCGTTCAAGAGGTGTTTGACCTGGGCACTGACTGATGGGGGCAGAGTTGGGGGACAGGAAGGCGTGACTCAGAAGCAGTGTGGGTACATGCCAACTGGTGGCTGCTTTTACCGGGCTTCAGCGTCTACACTGCAAATTAGACAATGGTGTCTCCAGGTGGACTATGGCTGGGTGATGGGCCAGCACCGCAGGCTGAGCTCCAGGTGGGCACCGTGAGTGTCAGGGTCCGTGGCTTGCTGAATGGAGGGTGGGCAGCATCTCAGCCCCCACTGGCCCCCTCCCTACTCTTACCGGGAGGCCCATGGTGAGTATGGAGTGGGAAGGTCAAAAGCTGGAGGCACCCTGCCATGGAAAAAACGGTAACTCGTCTTTGTTTCTTTATATGTTCATTTTAGAATTAGAATTCACATACCTGTATTTGAGATCTATTTATTTTCCTAGATGTCAGCGAATGCTCCAGCCAGCCTTGTGAGAACGGTGGGACGTGCGTGGAAGGCACCAACCAGTACAAATGTATTTGTCCTCCGGGAAGGACTGGGAGCCGCTGTCAGCATCAGGCCGAGACTGGTACGTAGCCGCTGTGCAGCGACGCGGGTTGCGGGGTGGGGGGACGTTCTGCTGCAGAGAGAGGAGGACCCGGGCCATGGGTCACCAAAGGCAGACAGAGTGGGATTGCCTCTCTGTTTTACATCTACTGATCCCTCTGGTTCCCTGAAGTGCTTGTTTGGGATGGAGTTTAGTCCTTTTGTGGAACCAGAGTTTTGATCCTTCTTTTGGAAGAAAATGCAGGTGGGCGAGTGACTCCTACGTTGAAAACTCTCCAGACTGGGAAGTTGGTCTGAGATCCTTCCTTGCTGCCACCTTCACGGGGTTGACAGTTCCTTCACACATCAGCAGAACAGCTAAAGATGTCCTATTCCTTTGCCAGAAAAGCCCGGCATGTCCTGTCTGGTGGTCTTGATTTCTGTGGAATCTCGGTTCAAGGGGAAGGAAGTGGGGGTTAGCAGAGCGTCCTGAGAGTATGAATTTTGTCAATACTCGATGTCCTTACATAGGACCCAGCCCAAGGTCAGGTTGGAAGTGTTGCCCCCAGACATTTGCTGCTTCATATGTCTTCTATTCCTGTACGTGCCCTGACCTCCGCCCCTTCGGGTGAGCCCTGGACCACCGGCTGCGTTTTTGGTTAATTCCGCGTCTTTCCAGAGTAAGCTCGGAGAAGGG